CAGTTCAGTGTATAGCTGTGGGTGTCTGCCTCTGCTTCCATCAGCCACTGGATGAGGGCTCTAGGATGGCATAAAAAGTAGTCATCAATCTCATTATAGGAGAAGGGCATTTAGGTTATCCTCTCCACCATTGCCTGGATTGTCAGTTCGTGTCATCCTTGTAGATCTCTGGAAATCTCCCTAGTGCCAGATCTCTCCTCAGACCTATAATGGCTCCCTCTAATATGGTATCTCTCATCCTGCTCTCCTCTATTCTTCCACCAACTCAACATTGCTGCTCCTCCATTTCCTCCTCTCCTCTCCTCTTCTCCTCCTCTCATTCTGGCAGCTCCCTCTCTCCTACCCTCAATCTCTAAGAAAATTCTATTAAAAAATGTGCTTTTAACAGTTTTTAAAAAGAATGAAAATATGAAAGAACTATGGAGAATGTGAGAACAGGAAATACCTGCTGTGAGACTGACCCTGAAGAGAAGCCAAGGAGTCTTTTGTGAGAGCACTCTCCATTCCCACACAACATCGGTGAGCCGTTTTCTCACAACCCCTGGCACAAAGGGAAGGTCTGACCTCTCATCACATTGAGGGGTAGGGGGAGGTTCACACCGTATATTTACTTCAGTGTGTGGATGTTACATGGAGCATGGAGGAGCCAAGTGAAGTGTTGTAAAATGAGAGTAGTCGGATCACAGCACAGACAATCCCTATACTCTCTGTCCTAGAGTGAGCTGCAGGAGATGTGGTCTGATTAAGGCTGTGGGAATGTGGCCTAAAGCTACAAGACACGGCCAAATTATTTTAGTGAGGCCAGTCACGCTAATACCCAAGCTACAGAAAGACTCAAGAAAGAAAGAGAATTGCCCACAAATTTCACTCATGAATATTAATGGAAAAATACTCAATAAAACACCCACAAATCAAATCTAATAACAAACCAAACAGATCACACACCATGATCAAGTAGGCTTCATCCCAGAGATGCAGGGATGGTTCAACATATGTAAATCTATCAATGTAATCCACCATATAAACAACCTGAAAGAAACCCCCTCACCACAAGATCATCTCATTAGATACTGAAAAAGCCTTTGACAAAATCCAACACCCCTTCCTGTTAAAGTAGCTGAAGTGATCGGGGATCAAAGGAACATACCAAAACATAATGAAAACAATACATAGCAAACTGACAGCCACCATTAAATTTAATGGAGAGAAACTCAAAGCAATTCCACTAAAATCATGAATAAGGCAAGGCTGTCCACTGCCTCTGTATCTATTGAATACAGTACTCAAAGTTCTAGCTAGAGCATTAAAACTACAAGGGGATCAAGGGTATATACCACAGCCCGAGGTACCAGCTCCTAGGACTGCACCCAGGGTTGCAGATAGAATGCCTTCATAGTAGCATGACTTAGAAAACAAATCTTCTCTAACCTAGGGTCTTTAGGGAAGGACTAATGCGTTCTGATAGTAACTTAAGAAAAATGGAATAAGCATACACTTTCATGATGGTAGCGTCTTTTACTTCATCTTGGAAAATCTCTCTTCTTGGCAATCTCCCTACATAGTTACATCTCTTTACTTACAACTGCATCTATTTTCTCTACACATCTCTTTTCTATACACACTTATCTCTACTCTGATACATTTTTCACAAATCTGCAACATCTCTCTTGGGTATCATTCACTCACTCATTCATTCATTCATTCACTCACACATACACTCAGCTACTCACACAGCACTTCCCAGAACCAACTATGCACAATACGTGAATTACAATAAAAACAGCGCCATTCTGGTCCACAGGTTATCATACAGTTTCTCTCAGGCTTAGACTGTCACACTGACCAGCAGAAAAATGAGTAACCACAGCAATGCGTGGCTATGCAGGCAGCAGGTGCAGCCTATCGGCACATAGCCTGACAGACATCATAGTGACATTGCAATTTAGGGCCTAAGGAATAAACAATTAGTCAGCTGTACCTTGAGCCTTGAATCATAAAAGTTAGGTTAGGAGTATGTGCAAAAAGTTATGCCAATAAAATCCTTCAACTAGATAGGGCTCAAAAAGCCAACAGAAACATGGTGGGACAGCATATAACAGAATATACTAAATTGCTGTGGTGGTTTAAATGAGAACGGCCCCCATAGACTCAAATATGAATGATTGGCCCCCAGTTTGTGGCACTGTTTGCAAAGGATTAGGAGGTGTGGCCATGTTAGTGGAGGTATGTCACCAGGGATGGGCTTTGAGGCTTTAAATGTCTACGCAATTCCCAATTAACTCTCTGCCTTCTGCTTATGGATCAAATGTAAGCTCCTGGTAACTACTCCCGCAACCTGCTGCCCCCACTGCAGCCTTGTTCTCCACCATGATGGTCCTTTGAAACAGACAACCCTGATAAACTCTTCTATATGTTGCCTTGGTTATGGTATCTTAGCAAAGCCAAAGAAAAGTGACAAAGACAACTACCAGGAAGTCTCAAAGATTTCTTACAAAGCATCCCAGGAGCTCATATGAAGTAATGATTGTGGCAAAGAGGAAACGTGGGAGAAAGGGTAATGGGACCAGTGTGTAATATGTGAGGTGACATCAAAGGGGTAAGCCTGCTTCATCCCTTTTGGATTGGGGGAGGCAGATTTTATGAGAGGGTGGTGATGTATTCTATACTCTGTGGTGACTCCCTAACATGGCCCAGGAAATCCACTCACTCAGTCTTTCAAATGATATCTCTTCTTCTTCTTCTTCTTCTTGAAAGCTTTAGCATCTCTTCCTCTCACACTCTTCAAAGGGCCTCACGGCTCCTCTGTCACACATGAGGAGCTGTGCTCTCCTCCAGCCTCCACTTTGTCTTTCTTCTCAGGGAACTCTGGCTGCGTTGGGCACCCAGGAGCTTCAAAGACTGATTTGCTCCTGCAGCAACTTCCCACTGGACAGGCAAACCTGATTAGCACACAAGCTTTCTATCTCCTTATATCCATGTTTATATAGACCTGTATTTCAATTTGGCTCAGTATTTTACACCCTTCTCAGTGGCATATGGCTCTTGCTGGGACATGGCGTACCATACATCCTTGATTTTCTACATACCTCGTTGCCTTCTGTTGAGGTGTCCCTTGTCCCTGACCCCTGACAACTGTGACATCCCAGTCTCAGACTCCGGACCTTGTCTCAATCTACCTGAACTCCCTAGATGGTTTCTGTTCCTCCCAAAGGCACAGATCCCTCCTCCACACTGACAGACCCAGAGTGTGAATTTCTAATCTCCATCTCCTCTGGGTTTTCACATTCTATTTATCCTGTGCTTCCTGCATGGGTCTCCATCTCTGCATTTGGCATCAGAATCTACCCAGAGAGTAAGAGTAAAAACTAAGAAGTCTCTCCAGAGTTCTCGTTCCTTCTCCATTCACCTTAAAAATCTGATCATCATCACTACTTCTCCACTGGTCTAGGATGTCACCATCGCATGCCTGAAATACTACCGCAGCCTTCTAGTAGGAAAAAAAGCAATCTACAGATTCAATGCAATTCCAATCAAAATCCTAACACAATTCTTGACAGATCTTCAAAGAACAATAGTCACCTTCTTGTGGAAAGCCAAAAAAAAAAAAAAACAAGATAGCTGAAACAATTCTGTACAATAAAGAAACTTCTGGAAGTATTACCATCCCTGAATTCAAGCTCTACTGTAGAGATATAATAATAAAAACTACCATATTGTATTGGCACAAAAACAGACAGGTGGATCAATGGAAAGGGGGAAGAGGGCAAAGAGGAGAGGAAGGAGGGGAAACCCCCACACCTAACACATAATGCTAGAATGTAGTCTTGAAACCCTCCATAGGCAGATGGAGTCCACAGTCATTTCAAGGATGCACCGATCGTCTCTTCCCCAACACAGAACACTTGAAACTCCTCACACAACTGCTCCTGGACTTCTCTCCTGTTCATTAATTTGACTGATGACATTAGCGATAAAGGATTAATCTTCATCCCTAGCCATCACTCAGCTGGTGTCTTCTCATCCCTCACAGGCATTTCCGCAGGAATTCAGTAAGTACTACCTTCCCAGAAAATTGAGAACACAGGATAGACTGGGTGTTCACCTGGGTCTCTGCGTCACAGATGGAGGCACTGTCTGGTGCTGAAAGACCCAAGGCCAGGACACAACAGGTGTCAGCACTGGACTAAGCTATTGTTCTCTGAGGGCATGGTGACGCTTATCAGCCATGTTGCTCAATGTGTTTCTTGGAGAAGAAACATAAAAGGAAGTTGAGAGGGATGGGCAACACTAGAGTGGAAGGGATTGAGCAGTGCCTTGGATTCTGGGACGTGCTTCCAGCTGAGAAGAATCTCAGCCCAGAAGGAAGAAGGGCAGCAGAGCCTGAGTTCTGTGTTGGAGCTGAGACTCTTCTTCTTAGAGGGAGGACAGCAAGTGAGAAGATTGATGGCAGAGTCCTCTGTGCTTCTCTGCAAGGGGTGTACCCCCTGGCAGGGTATTCTGCTCACAGGTAAGGGTAACCATTCTTTGCCTGTGTGATCTCAGGATGACAGGATCTTGAGAGAAGACTTAAGGCTTTTGTTTGCAGTGATGGTGCAGAAGGCAGAGTGAGGGGGAGAGGCTTAGCAGCCTGAATCTCTCAGGGGGTGATGACGGTAAGAGAAAAGTGTCAAACTCTCCATACTCACAGTGATTTACATTGGCTGGAATTTTCTGAAGACAGCTCTTCCCAATCCAGACAGCATGACCCTCCAAATAGAAGTCAAACAGGGAGGGCTAATGAGACGTCTCAGTGTGTAAAGATAGGAGAACCTGAAACCAATACTCAGGCTCCACACAGTTCATGGAGAGAACAGACTCCTGCAGGTTCTATTGTACCCTTCACATAGGTGCTGAGGTTGCTCCCACGCATGCACACCCTGGCATATGTGCCCCCACGCAGACGTGTGGCATACATTTTTGTATTGCACAAGAAGTCACCTGCCTTTACAAATACACACATATTTCTATAAGTAAATCTAAAACCACTTATTTCATGCTTGAATGTTATGATTGTCATAAGCTCTAAACCAGGGACCTATGAAAACAAATCCACTGGGTCGCATTCCTCCTCCCTTTTTCCTTTATCTACTTGTGTCTGAGTCCTTTCCAGGAACTGAAACTTCCCAAAAGGTCAGACTAATCCTGCCATTGAATATCTGTGGTTCTGCTGGGTGGTGTGACTCAGGCTCTTAATCCCAACACTTGGGATTCAGAGGCAATTGATCTCTTTGAGTTCAAGGCCAGCCTGGGCTCCAGAGCATGTTCCAGGACATCCAAGGGTACACAGAGAAACCTTGTCTCAAAAACCCAAAACTAAAATCAAAACCAAAGCCAAACAAACAGAATGACCTGGTTCAAATGGGCCTGATGTCAATATATCAAAAATACGAAGCAGTGGGTATCACAAAAGGAGCAGAGAAACTGTCAGAAATTAAGGCCTCTCTAGAGGTGGTGTTCTGGGAGGCATTGCTTCTTCCACCAGACACTATATGAGGAGGGATATCGGACAATGAGTGGTGAACCTGTCAGACAGCTGAGCACAGAATTCCTAAGAGAGTTGCTGACATACTCAGACACGCTGAGTCAATGGGAGTCATGTTGTTCATGTCTGCAAAGAAGGTGGGCACTTCCTCACTCACACACCAAAGCTGAGTGATGACAATCACAACAGTTTAATACTGGTGGTTTTTCTCAATTCTCTTCTAGCCTCCCTTCTAAACTTCTGGCTCCTGTCCACCGGTGCCCACATGACCACTGAATTAGTGCCACTCCAAGTGGCTGAAGGAGAAAACGTCCTTTTTCTTGCTCACGATCTTCCTGAGAGTCTGACAGCCTTCGCCTGGTTCAAAGGGCTAAGAAGCACAAAAAAAGGAATTGCACTGTATTCACTGTACCAGAATGTAAGTGGGCCAGGGCCTGTGCACAGTGGTAGAGAGACAATATATCGCAATGGATCCCTGTGGCTGGAAAAGGTCACCCAGAAGGACTCAGGATTCTATACCCTACGAACCTATAATATACGTGGAAAACTCATAGCAACCACATCTATATACCTTCACGTGCACGGTAAGTGATTTTTTTGTGTCTGAACTCTGTGATCTAGATTAGGTTCATTTCAGTGGACACATACAGGAGAGTAGTCCGTGCCTCCCTTCTCTATGCACTGTCCCCCTGTCATGTGGTTGAAGCATTACTTCAGGACACATATGGTATAGAATAGTGGGTGGTGGGGGTTTGGGACAGCCTAGAGGCAAGTCTCTCACCTGCCTGCAGGCTGGTGGGGACTTTTAACTCTTGAGGTTCTTACCAGGAATGTTTCCTTGAGAAAGACTTCAAGAGAATCAATATTGTGCCTGGTTGAGGAAAGCATGGGATTCCCATAGAGATGTGAGCACCAGATGCTCTGTCTCCAGACCTCTGTCTTAGACTCAACTCTATGTGTTCATGGGAAGTACTTTATAAGTGTTGGATTTTGACTTCCTTATGCCAGGGAACACTGCCCCTAGTAGTCAAAGTCTTGTGATGTATGGAACCAGTGCACTGTCAAGAGAGCCTTTGTTGGGCTATGTCCCTTGGCCATCATCTTCAGAGAGTCAACAAGGGAGCATAACTCAACAGGTGTCCCGGCCACTAATTAACTGTCCTGTTGAACACAAGAGATTTCACATGAAGGCCATAGTCACCAAGGAAAGGGACCAAGGAAACAGTGTCTTCTGACAAGTGCTTGTCCTCTGGGTCCTGCTTGGGGAATTCTCTCCTTTGGGCAAGTGTCTGCAGGCTATGGCAATCTGACAGCTTCACAGATGTGAGCTTTAGTTCCCCCAGTGATTACCAGGGATGTCATCAGGACACACAATGAAGTGGCAGGAAAGTTTTTGCCAGAACCAGGAACGTACCTAGTAGCCTGGTTCCATGCCTGTTTTTACACACCTGGAAACCATGGTAACAGCATTCTCAGACCCAGCAGACCGCCAGGAGATCATGTTCTGTTTCTCACTTTATGTGTTTCTTTTGAAAAATGCATGTTATCCAAGGGGAATGAACTAGATAGAGGTCACAGGAATCTCAGAAAGACTACAGAGCACATGGGCAGACCCATTACACAGCTCAGCAAACAGAGGAAGTGGGAGCATGGTCTTGAAAATATTGCACTGGATGAAGGACCTCACAGCCTTTCCCCAAGAATCAGGTCACCTCCTTGCTCACACCCAAGATGTGAGACTCCTGACGCATCGTGGGCCTTTGAACCTCGGTCAGAACCCAGTCTGATCATAGCCAGTGAGAACAGATTTGTTCTTTTCCCCACGAATCACCCACCTGGTGCCTTCAGAGTCTCAAAGTCAGTTCTGCCACCTTCCCGCTGTGAGCAAATTTCATATTTCCAGAGCATTGAAAACAGGGCAAACTGGGTGCCTAGCTGGGTTCCCTTGTCACACAGTTGTGCAGATTTTCCCTCTTTGGTGCTGGCTAGCCTAGGCCAGGACACAGCAGAGGGCAGTTCCAGGGTCAGCTGCTATTAGCTCATGTCACAAGGACGGCCATTATCCTGGACTCTCACTGTGTGGTCTAGAGGACAGAAACGGAAAAAGAGAAGGGGAAAGGAACACGGGGAAGAGAAGGAAGAGAAGAGTAAAAGAACACTGAAACTGGAGGGACAGAGCAGTGTTTGGAACACAGACCCACCCTCAGCCCATGGGACTCTTCCCTGGAGAAGGCTCAGCTCACATTAGGAAGGATAGCAGAACCTGGGAGCTATGCTAGAGCAGAAGATCAGCCCACTGAGACAATGAAGGCCTCCTCTGCACTCCTATGCAAAGGGACTTATGCTCATAGATGAGGAGACCATGAGTTGGCCGTGAGAAGAGTCTGGAGTCCCCTGAGTGGTAGAAGGGCATGAGAGGAGTCTCGGTGTTTGTAGGGGAGAAGATACAGAGCGGGAGAAAGAAAGCATTTGGGATGCTCTCATTGAGTATTAAATAATAAAGGTGGGGGAGACATTATTCCTGTGTGAAATTAGTAAACATGACCGCAATTCTGAAGACTGATGCTCTACGCTTGATGTCCCAAATAAAAAACCAAGCTGGTCTGTGTCAGTGACATGGTCCAGTGGATATACACAATTGCTTCGTTGTCCGAACAGAAGTTTTCTGACCTCCACTTCAGTACCGTGTCCTGTACACATCACACATACTAGACTTGACCTTACACTGCTCCCACACAAGGGTAATATGTAAACAAGTATAAAAATTTAAACAAGTGGAAAGGTAGTCATAAACCTATGAGTTTCTTGAATAAGTCCACAGGCATACAGGGTTCTGGATATTATTCATTTAGTCGGTCTCCACATGTATCTTAGTTTTTTTTCTAGGCATCATTTAAAGAATACAAGGCAACTCATGGGTCTTATGGCTCAGTCTGAGTGGACTTGACATAAAGAAAGCTAGAAGGAAAATTCAGGTGTTGTCTACAACCCAAAGAGGAACACAACAAAGTCAGAGAGTGAAGACACAGGGTCTATAGTGGGAGAGGTTGGGCAGGCATCACTCCAACCCAATCCACTAGAAATATCATCAGGGATCTGATAGCAGTAAACCAAGGTAATGTTGACAACTGAAGAGAGAGAGCCATATAGTGGAAATGACAATTGTGGGGACATTGAGAACATGAGGGACCTGTGCAGATCTCCTACAATTAGGACAGGAAGACATTCACCCACAAACCTACTCCGAGCAGTGGACCCAACTTCTCAGAGCAGTGGGCCTCATCTTAATCAAATACAAAGTCCCAATTTATATGTATCTCTCTTTTCCCTTCTAGCGTTCCTTTGGAAATGTGGGCGGTTTGACATCTCTGGTCAGCCCACGATTGAGTCAGTGCCACCCAGCGTTGCTGAAGGGGGAAGTGCTCTTCTACGTGTTCGCAATCCCCCAGAGAATATTATAGCCTTTGCCTGGTTCAAAGGAATGACTGTGTTAAAGGACCAGGAAATTGCCCGGTATATAACAGGTAGGAAATCACCTGTGACAGGGCCTGCATACAGTGGCAGAGAGACATTGTACCAGGATGGATCCCTGCTGCTTCATGGTGTCACACGGAAAGAGCCTGGATTGTACACTCTACGGATTCTGAGGACAGATATGAAAAGTGAAGCAGCAACAGTGCAGCTCCAGGTGGACAGTAAGTGATTCTCTGTGACTGTTCAGGGCTGGGTGGGGCTTAGACACACAGGGCTGTCATGGATAGCCTAGACTCCTTTCCCTCTGCATTGTGTCTCCATGTGAAGGTTTGAGCAGTTAGTGCAGGACACCTTAATAGGGACAAATGGCCATAGAGCAGCTTCCATCTTCTGACTCCATTTGCATCAAGGAAGACCTTGATGGACAGTAACTCAGCCTGAGATGTCAGAGTCAGCCCAGTCTCTTGGGGCTCTCGACCATAGAACCCTGAATGCATTCATCTTTCCAAGGCTGGACTAAAGTGAACCAGGGGAGCATTTTCTGGTGCTCTACACTTACATCCTCTCAGAGATGATAGGGAACAATGGTTTTAGAACATCCGTGACAAACAGGGTATTTATTAGCTCTAAATTGAGAGTGTCATAAATAAAATCCAGGAACTGGTGCAGAGAGCATGGAGGAGTGCTTCCTATTGGCTTGCTCTTCATGCTTGCTCAACCACCTCTCATATCACCCAGGACTCCTAGGCCAGGGGCGAACTGCCTGCATTGTTCTGAATACTTTTGCATCGACACCCAATTTTAAAAATGTACTATAGTTTTGCGCACAGGCCAATCAGGTGGTGGCTTTGTCAACTGAGGCCTTGTCTTGCAAAATGTAACTTGCATCAAGTTGAAATAAAAACCAGCCAGCATAACACCCAAGCCTTTTAAAGACCTGAGCCTGCCTTGAAGATCAGACTCCTCCCAACACTCATACAGCCCCAGTTTTGTGGTGATGCTTTGTTTACACTCTAACAAGTAAAGCTTGCCTTAAGAGCAGAGGGTAGAGATAACCTCACCATTGTTTACCTTTACAAATGAAAAGAGGGTGAGCTCCTGTCTTTTTACCTGCCTTAAATTCCTCTCTCTGCCCAGCCATTTCACTTACTGTTTCCTCCCAAGTACTAGGTGAAAGGCATGAGATTCCAAGTGCTGGGCCTAAAGTTGTGTGCCACCAATGTCTGACCTCTATGGTTAACTAGCTAGCTCTGCACTCTGATCTCCACACACTGATTATTTGTTAGAGTACAAACAAGATATCACCACACAGACCTAAAGGCCACTTGACATAGCAGCAAGTACATCTATTAGGTGAAGACAGGTGTTGAGTATTGCCTCAGAGGAAACTGAAGAAAAACTAGAAAGGGAAAGTTCTGGGTCTGTTGTGGTCAGGGGAGGCATCATCTCAATCCCCCAGTGTGCAAGAGTGTGCACAGTGTGAGGGCACAAGCCACAGCAGTGAGGGAACAGCCATGTAGACACCCAAGGGGACAGTTCCATGCAGAGGAAATGACACTTTCAGGAGCACTGTTGGAAAGGAGGAGATCATGTTTCTGCCCTTCATTAAGTGTGTTAGACACACACACACACACACACACACACACACACACACACACATATATCTTCATACATGTATGTATGTATGTAGTATGTATAGATGTATGTATGTATGTACACAACGATCCCCATGTGATAGCTTTTTTTGTCTTTTCCCTTCCAGCCTCTCTTTCTCTGTGTTGTAACCCTCTCACCTCTGCCCAACTCATGATCCAACCAGTGCCTCAGTATGCTGCTGAAGGGGAAAGTATTCTTCTCCAAGTTTATAATCTTCCAGAAGATCTGCAAGCCTTTTCCTGGTACAAATCGATATATAGGGGCCAGGTTCTTAAAATTGTAGAATACAGCAATATCATATATCCCGCCTCCTGGGAGCCTGCATACAGAGACAGAGGGATGGTGTACAGTAATGGATCCCTGTTGCTCGAGAACGTCACAAAGCAAGACGCAGGAATGTATGCACTAGCAGTTTTAAATGAAGATTTCAAATTAGAAGAGGCATATGTGAAAATTTATGTGAACAGTAAGTGATTCTCTATGGTCTCTAGCTGCTGGGTGTAGCTTATCTTACTTAATACACTGAACTGTCAGATTGGGCTGCCTATGCTCTCTCCCCCATAGCACTTTGTCCCTCCATTGGGGTTTGGGCCCCTACTGTAGGACACACACGGGGCAGATAAACAGCAATAGATCAGAACCCCTCACCTGTCTTTACCTGAAGACAGGAAGACCTGTGCTGGGAAACCTCAGCTCCAGGTTATCAGCCTCAGTGCAGACACTTGGAGTTCTCACCATGCACATGTCCCCAGAAAGACTGTGGGAGTCAGGCAGTCCCTGGCTGATGAAGCCATGGGGTCGTCACAGAGAGCACCAGGAAACTCTTGACTCTAAAATTTTTCCACTGGATAGAATTAAGGTGATACTGGGGTGCATTTTATAACTGTTGGTTTAGATTTTCTGTCTGAGCCAAAAGGTAACAAGGCTTTACTGACTGTCCAAGTCATGGAACTGACTATTCCATGGAGTGTGGAACCAGCTGTGAACTGCCATGACAGCTGCAGTTAGGTAGGCCACGTGTGCAACTCCTTCTCCTGAGTCTCAGTGGACGGGTGTCCAGGCCATTAGCCTATTGTTCTGATGGGCTTCTGAGACTTCACAGGATGGCGAAGGCACCAAGGGAAGAAAAAGAGGAGGCAGCTACTCCAGATTCCTCCTTCATCTAAGGGGTCCAGCCTAGGGAATTTTCTTCTGCAGGTAAATAGTAACAGAGGGTGCTGATGTGAGCAGAATCCGCACCCCCAAGGTCAGATCATTGCTCATAACTAAGCTTAATTCATGGACACTGCAATGACCATCCTCTGTATGTTCTATTATAGGAAAACTGAGGCACAGGAAACAGTGACTGAATCAGGGTCACACATTCCCCGGGTGGCAGATCCATAGCACCAGATACGTCTATAGTCTTAGCTCTAAATCTCGCCCCCTTGAAAGTTTGTAAAGTATGAACTGAAGAGGGCCTGGCTGAATATTTTGGACTCCTGTCATTTGGTGACCTCCTCTGTTTCTTCACAGAGCCTGTGACACAGCCCACGGCGCAAATCACAGAGACCACAGTTGCAGGACGTCGTTCTGCGATCCTCACCTGCATCTCTCCTGACACCGACGTCTCCATCCGTTGGATCTTCAATAACAAGACTCTGCAGCTCACAGAGAGGATGTTTGTGTCCCCGACAAAGTGTGGCCTCCAAATACATCCTGTGAAGAGAGAAAATGCTGGGGAATATAAGTGTGAGGTCTCCAACCAATTCAGTTTGAAGACCAGCCTCCCAGTCAGCCTGGTTGTGA